ATAGTAAGCGGAGCAGTCCGGCGCGCAGGAGGCGCAGCACCGGATCTGCTGAGTGCAGTAGAGTAGTTTGGTTTCGCGCAGATACTGCGAGTGGTAGATAGGATAGCGTAGTGCTAGTTAGGATCTTTTGAGAGTATAAAGTAGATCAAGGCGTTTTGCCTTGGGACTCTTCCAGTTTCGGAAGTGCAGATCAGGAACTCACTTTCTTGGCGTGTTTGTGCATTTTGGTCCTGGCACCACGTAGAGAAGCTGCAGCATAGCGAAGTTACCGTATGTTGTAGTTGAAGGCCTTCGGCTGAATGTTCAGAGCTAGTACCCGGTTAGAGACTTGAGTAGTGCGGATCTGCACCTGCGGGTGATTTCTGATGCTCAGAGCCGGCTGCGAGTTAGAGACTTGAACAGTTCCCCCTTACTCCTTCGAGTGACATATCCTGATTGTACTCCTACGGGAAGTTTCCCCTGAATGCCAATGTGAAGTTTCATTACTTCGTGTAAACCTTGGTTTGTAATTCAGGTTGTGTGTGTGTTACTGGATCGTGTTTTCAGTAAGTTCTCAGTTGGGTCTGCACTCCCTGCGTTCGGTGTGATAGTCGAGGGTGACGTCCACGGCGTATGTAGAGGCTTCGTTCCGAAGTGGGAAGTCCAGTCCGGGTACCCCCGCTAGTTCCTGGCGGAAGGGCAGTAAAAGCCGGAGTGGGAGGCACTACCTGCAGAACCTCTGAGTGAACTTGTGAGACACTTTCCTCCTGAAATCCGAAGCGGAGGTCCTGACCGACCTCCGAGTTGTGCTTTTTGCCAGTTTCAGGTGTGTGTGTGTGTGTGTGTTGAGTGACCACGCTGTACCGTGCATCCTCCGAGCATCCTCCGAGTTGAGATCCTCCTCCGAGTCGAGCCTCCGAGTCGAGCACTGCAGTATTTCTGGGAGTGACAGTCGCCTAGAATTCAAACTCTACAAAAGTCTGTTAAACGTGACACTTTTACTCTGTGTGTTGCCTCTGTCCCTGTGGGTTCGATCTTTTTACCACCATACTGCAGTTTTAGCCTTTGGTGGGTTATTACAATGTCAAAGGATACCTGCTTTGAGATCTCGTATGTTGTAAACATGTCGTTAATACAAACGTTTGTTTCAATGAGTCTAGATCATCAAAAGAGAGTAAGATGGTTGATTTCGTTACCAACAAAGGTCAATCATCTTCCTCAAACATCAATAAGAGGGAAATTTTTTATGAAAATTCTCATTATGGGTCGCAAGGAGATATTCCACAAGTAACGGAGAAGGCAGAAGAGCAAGATTTTGTTTTTGAATAGATTCATGAGCAGCAACACATTGTTGGTGAACCAACATCTAAACTATAAGACCAAAGTTGTATGAGTGAAATGAAACTAGACGTAGCCCAAGGAATTAATCATTGTTAGCTTAGTTATGAGTAAATCTAGCTAATTATGACTAATTCTAGCTAGTTGTAACTAAATTTATCAAGTTATAACTATGTTTAGTTATAATGTCTATATTTGGAAAAATAACAAGAGAAATTTTAGAAGATTGAGTGAATACTTCTATTTTGTCTTGTACTAAAATCTAGATTCAAAGAGTAAAAACTTTTTGGCTTCATATTTAGTTTTGATTGGTTTCACTAAATATTGGGTATTTCATTCGCATAGATTAAGTTTAATGTTAACTTAGTGCCAAGTGGAGAATTTAGAAGTTGGAAAGTCACAAATAGCATGTCGCCACCTCAATCTAGATATTAGTATACATCTAGAATGTTTAGAAGGCCAATGGCATGTTGACACGTATTGATAACTAGTCAAATTTATTATATTTTATCTTTGTAAACATAAGTTACATAAAAATTATCATTTGTAACTTTGGTAAATTTTCAAGTAGTATATATATATATATATAGTTAATAAGAAACTCTCAAGCAAGTTTGGAAATTTCATGTGTACAAATTTGTTTCATATTCGAGAGAGTGATGATTTTCAGTATCTTGGAATGTCGATATGTGTCAAATGTAGTGATAAATTGAGCGATTGTGTGAGAGGGTGTTTGAAACATGGCCATGAGAAATAATTCTAGTCTTCTAGAACCACGATGAGCTATCGCAAAGCCATGTGAGATAAATCTGAGTGAGAATCAGCCAAGAGATTACAGAATCAACACACAATGATCAACAAGAGTCTTCGTCGTGCGTTCAAAAGATATGGTTCTTGGTTTTCTACTAAACAGATTGTTAGGGACTATGATACACTTGTTGATGACTCAAGAGAAGCGCTGATCACAGAGTATGAAAGACTGATATCTTATATTGAGATGTAGAATTGCAAATGAAAATGAAATCATTTCCTGACAACTAGATTTGGGAACTTGTGAAGTTGTCCAATGAAAACGAGCTATAGATTGCACGTGCATCTACACAATGAAGTATGATTTTACTTATGCATTGTAAAAATCTTCAAAGCAAGATTGGTGGTCAAGAGTTTTGAACCACAGAATGGCATTGATTACATTGAGGTTTTCACACCAATATTAAATTTTCACCTATATGTTTGTTGTGTGCATTTTTCACATTATTTAGTCTATTCCTTGATCAGATAGATGTTGTTACAGCGTTTTTGCATTGAGAGTTAATTGAAGTGATTTACATGACACAATCTCAAGATTTTTTTAAGAGAAAAAAGATTGTTTGATTCGGTGATTGCTTAGATCCTTGTATGGACTTAAGCAAAGTATCAACAATGGAACAAACGTTTTGATGAGTTCATGTTTATGCAAGGTTTCATACAAAGTGCATATGACACTTGTGTGTCATGAAGCATGTTAGCAACACAATATTTGGCTTCACAATATTAGTGTTTTATGATGATGACATGATTATTGTTGCTAAAGATAGTTTTGAGATTATTACACTCAAAGTCCAGTTTAATAATAAAAAATCTAGATCATGGTAAGAGTATTCTAGACATGAAAATCCACAGGGACGAGATGTCAACCAAACTTTGATTGACACAAACACGGTATGGAGAGTAAAAACTTGCTAGGTTCAACATGTCAAATGATAAAGCTGTAATTATTCTATTAGTTGTACACTTTAAGCTTTTGGCAGCTTCAAGTCTAACTAATGCAAATGCAAAAGGATTGATAACTTCTATTTCTTATGAAAGTGGAATTGGCAGCATTATGTATCTAATGATACGCACCAGACATGATATAACATATGTAGTTGGCAGGGTGAGTAGATACATATCAAATCCTAGATGAGAGCATTGGAAAGCTTTGAAATGAATAATGAAGTATATGAAAGGTTCTCTTAATATTGGATTATTGTTTGATGCACGATCCAATAATGCAAGTTCGTTCTAGCGGTATGTTGATGTTGATTATGGAGGAGATTTGAGAAAATGGAGATTAACAACTGGGTATGTTTTCACTCTTGTTGATGGATGCATAAGTTGCAGATATACACTTCAAATATGCATTTCTCAATCGTCAACAGAAGCTGAATATGTTACTGCAACAAAAGCAGCAAAGCAGACAATCTAATTGAAGAATTGGTTTGATTGAATGATTGATTGTAATCACTGAGTTGGGGCTACCACACAGTGATATGAATTTTTATTGTGCCAGCAAAAGTGCACTTCATCTAGCATCAAACAATGTGATCGATAGTAGGGTAAAGCACATTGACATCAAATATCATACAAGCGGTGTCTGATAGTGCATTAAACTCATCAAGATTGAAGATAAGCTCATTCTTGCCAACGCATTGACTAAAGTGATTTCATTAGAAATTTTTCATTCCTTTCTAAGCATATTATAAACTAATAGCACTTTACTTTTACCCAATTAGTCTTTGACTTCTAACTCTCTACTCACTCGCTTTGAAACTTCTCTCTTGATGTCATTTTCATCATAAGATTGATTATTTTGAATTAAATTTCCAAACATACTTTGTTGCCTCCCGTCAATGCCGCTATTTTGTACTTAAAGGCTCATCTCATTCCCCTATGTCTGCTTATTTTTTTTTTCACCATCACTTGTTCTTAGTTTTGAATCTTAGTTCTTTTTTGAACGTTTCCCTAATTTGGAACTTAATCAATGTTTATTTGAGCCAAGATATTTCAACATTATCTCCTGACAATGCTGTATGTACTAACAGCACTTCGGAACATTATCTATTTTTATTGAGCCATGATATTTCAATTTTATCTCCTAACAATGCTGAATGTACTAGCAGCACTTCGGAACTTTATCTATTTTTATTGAGCCATGATATTTCAATTTATTTCCTAACAATGTTGTATATACTAACTGCACTTCAGAAGTTTACCTATTTTCATTGAGCCATGATATTTCAATTTTATTTCCTAACAATGCTGTATGTACTAACTGCACTTCGGAACTTTATCTATTTTTATTGAGCCATGATATTTCAATTTTATTTCCTAACAATGCTTTTTGTACTAACTGAATGTAGAATTTTAAGGGCGCCAACTACATACTCGTCTCTAATTGCTATGTCTGATCTGCATATGATATTTTACATAGTAAGGCAACTACTACATTAATCATGACATCATGCATGGACAGCTGGAACTACAACAAATAGTATTCATTATGAGGTTTAAATAAAAAAAGGACATGTTTTTCGAAAAGGTATCATTCTCTTTAGTTAAATGTCTACAATATTTCAGAAAATGAGTCTTCATTGCGATACAAGCGCAATCCATGTAAGGTTTACGCATGAGCCAATGTAATATATATGAACATTTTCCCATATTCAGTACATTGGAGCCTAAACCCGTGTTACCCATTTGGCTACCTTTAATCCATGTACGATTTCATTTGTATCTTTCCTTCCACTTTTCTTTGATCTTTTGTTCATTGCAAGCATGTTTGGATAGCACGTGTTATAACCAAACTACACATTTTCTCCGTAGACTGGGGGCTCCGGTTGACAAATGACCATTGACTGAAGAAGGGGACTAACCAACAAGTTGAAATCCATCGTGCAATCAGTCATGTTTATTGCAAGAGTGAAGATTGTGTTCCCTTTGGTACAGCTTCAATCTGCCGAAAGGAGCAAACTAGATCCAGAGAATGAATCCAAAAAATTTCCGAACCGCACTAGACGGCATTCGGAACTCATATTTGAGTATTATTTTCCTCATTTCCATCTCCCTGACCACAAACTCTAGAATGGCAATCCTCCACAATCTTTGGGAAGATGAAGACTGTCCGACATGATTCATATCCAGGAAAACCCGCGTGATTCCTAAGAAATCATAGTGTGCAATAAACTTCACCGCGCGGATACTGGGAGATTAGGTCGCGTGCGATGTTTCTCCAACATCAGAAATAATAAAATAGAAATAATCAACTTGTGCTGGGTCACATCTGTTTGCTCGACAAGTTCTGTAGGCACACGCAGTGATCCATCGCCAAAACCGCTAAATCTCACAAATTGTCGGCTTTTGTTTTCTCCACTGCTCCGTTGCTCTCCTCGTTCTCACCCGACAGCTCCTCCAAGGACTTTCCCTTGGTCTCCGGAACGAAGAACGTGAAGAAGAAACCGATGGCGTTGCACACAGCGAGGACCAGCAGAGACTTCTTGATACCGATTCCTGTGGGATAACCATGATCCTGCTTGCCGTGGTGCTCGTTCTGGCTCGCATATAGAAATCCGAACGCTCCCACAATAGCTCCAGCTTTGCCCGATGCTGCGGAGATTCCGTGACAAGTAGACCTCAGCCTCGCGGGGAAAAGCTCCGCCGGCACGATGAATGTTGTGGAGTTGGGCCCGAAGTTGGCAAAGAAGAAGGTCAGAGCGTACATGGCAATAAACGCTAAATGGTTACCACCGCAGTACTTGGATGAGTCGGCGGGACATGGATCTCCCCTGAGGTTGTAGTAGTCGAAGGTCAAGACGAGCATAAATAGTGTCATCATGAAAAATCCATTCAGCTGTATCCACCACCTTCCAACTCTGTCGATGAGAGCAACTGTCACCCAGTAACCAGGCACGGTGGATACAAGAGCGATCAGAGCTTGAGCTCGGCTAATCTTGAACACCTCCTCCAGGGCGCTCATTTTCTTGGCTGCTGGGATCCACCCCACGGCGGTGAAGATGTCTTTCTGGAACAGATTCTGGCTGTAGAAAGCCACATCCAGCATGAACCAGCACACTGTGCATCCCAGCAGCTGATAACCATGGCGTCTGAGAAACTCGTGACTGAACAGTTTGTACTGCACTTTCTTGTCAGCTTCACGTTCAGCTGCCGCTTGATGTTTCTGCTCGCCCATCGCGATTGAAGAATCGTCATGCTTTGTTTCGAATTGGACGTGCAGCACCTTCTCCATATCTCTGGCGGCCTGCTCGTTGTTCTTCTCGACCAGAGCCGTGTACCGAGCAGTCTCGGGCATTCGGATTCGGTAATAGTAGGTCAGCGCAGCTGGAAGGGCACCGAACATGAAGAGCAGACGCCACACGTAGTCCGCCTGAGGAGGGGTGGACCTGATCTGATCGACTTGAAATGCTGGTCGATGATAAGCTGCATTGAAGGCTGCAGACAGAATGATGGCAACTGTAGCTCCGGAGAGGATTCCGAATCCTTGCATCGCGAACACTGCTCCGATGAATGCTCCCCGAGTCTTCGTATTGGAGTATTCGGACATGATCGTGGCCGAGAGGGGGTAATCTCCCCCGATTCCGAATCCCAGCCAGAAGCGGAAGAAGCACAAGGTGGTCATGACACTAGTGGCGTTGCTGCCCAGGGAGAGACCAGAAGCAATGGACGTCAGAATCATGAGGAGGAGAGTGATACCATACACCTTCTTTCGTCCGAATTTGTCACCAGCCCATCCGAAGAAGAGCTGCCCAAGGAGCGTTCCCACGAGAGCAACTCCATTGACTGCTGCAGCAACATTGGGGGGGAGAGTTCCGGGCTTGCCGAGTGCTGGGTCGTAGTAATACAGGCGACCGAGCAGTCTGGTGACGGTGGAGATGGAGAAGAGATCGTAAGCGTCGGTGAAGAATCCCATTCCTGCTATAACAATGGACTTGAAATGGTACCCTTGTGTCTTGGCTTTGTCAAGAGTCCTCAACACCTCCATTCCAACAGCTGACTGGTCCGGCATCGTGCCTGCGTTCTTCTGTAAATCGACCAGGAATGAGCGTAAGAAAGTCCTCTCTACTAGTATATGTTACCCCGAACTGGAGCAGCTCAGTAGAAGGAAATGTCGAGCTGGAAATTTTAATGTAAACCGTCTCAGGAGAAGCTTACAGAGGAACGTGAGGGACGTTTGAAGTTCCCCGCTGACTTCCTCAGTGTCTCTTGGATAGTTGAGTTGCATATCAGAATGAGGAGGGTTATAAACTAGCTAGAGAGGCTGCTTCGAGTTGATTTCCTGGTAACTGCGTGGTTACTGTACAAATGTTTCTTTTTTTCCTGACATAGCACCTCCCTGGAGATTCCAGGCTGAACCTGATGGCTCTGAGCTCACTGGTGCAACACCCTTCACTGTCCACATCTGTCTTGTTAGGAGCTGTGGGCTTGCAACATTTCATTTGTGACTCAGTGGTTTCAACGCTCGGGTGGTCTTCTGTAAATTAAGTGAGAGTTCTTACCGTCCAGGATTTTAGGCGGCCATTCGGGCAATTGCGCAAGTACTTGAGACATGGTGGAGCCTAGTATTCTGACGTCAATTACTAGGGCCAGAACGGTTTATATCTGGAACTCACCGTACGTTGAGACACTACTTTTGCAATCTGTAAGAAGTCAGCGGGGCTCTGGTGTGCTGGTCTTGTTTGATCAACTAGAGGAATAAGTTCCATATTCTTACTAAGAATTATGGAACTTGTCGCACTACATTCTTACAGAGGATTTCACTTAAATTTACAAACAGTGATGTCTAGGCTGAGGATGGATATTAGACGAGTGTTAGGAGCGCTGTACTCCAGAGAACTTCCTGGATCTCAAGCGTTCTTCATTCCTGCTAATGCTTGAACACTCTAAGGTCACTCATACTGCAGAATGAAATGACAAGGGGAAGAAAATATCTGAATGTTATTTGTAGTCATCATGAAAATTTACGTATGGCTTCCTACAGATTTGACTGGAAATCAACCAGCTGATTCTAAAAAAATAATCTTTTCTATTCTCCAGACGTTATGTACTTCAATAAAGAACTGGACAACACATTCAAGGTCAACAAAACCAATGGATCCAGCTGCCCAAGCAGGTGACAAAGCACTGAAACTATAAGACTAAGTACAAAGCCACTTTCTCATGAGCATCTATGAACGTCGCTGTATGAAAGAAATATGATCAACTCCAAGTTGTTCCTAACTTGACCACCACACTTGGCGCGCTGCCCAAATGCGTTTCAGCTTCAGCCTCAGGGGATACACAATGTTGTACGTAATGATGATCTCGAGCTACTCTTCTGGTTGTCGAGTGCGCTCGCTAACAAAGTCAAAAGGCCAGGTCCACTTCCAACGGAACCTGATATGACATATAGCCTCTTTTAGTTAAGCTTTCAATAGATCCCTTTCATTCCAGGAGATAACGGAGCGGGAATGCACTAGCATTCCCGCTCCATTTGCGAAGCAAATTGATCCATATCTCTACGAAACCATAGTATTGTATAAACACAACTATCCTCTTCCGACTTATTTTCTTCCTCTTCTAAAGTATTGCGCTTCCGTATGCCTAACCAGTTGATAAATGATTGTCAGCAAAGTGTACATGTAAAACCTGGTTGTGATGTGATGAAGACATACTAGAGATATTTCTCCGGTGAGCACCACAGATTTCAGTCCGCATGCATAAGATCCTTCACTATCTTCACCAAACTACACGAAAGAAAGCAGAGCTAATGTCACGATATCTTTGACAGGAAGATTGCACAAATTTTGAGTCTACCACTCCAGAAAGGGCATGTAAATCGCACGAGAATCTCACGATTTTGAACGCCGCTTCAATCTCGAATCAGAAATGCTTTTCAGTCACTGTTACACGCATCGAACAAGCCTTTTCCTGCGGCCAGCGTGGCAGCAAAGTCCGACATCTGATCAGTGGCGTGCCGCTGCTCGCCAGGCCCGTACAGCCGATTTGCTTCCCGCAGGAAGGACTAGATCCGGGGTGCACCACAGGTCCGCCCGGTCGAGTATCACAAATACACCGGTACCGGTCGTAGCCGACGACGGCTGTGAGAACGCCAAGGTAATATTCTAAACCGGTAAATACGAGCAGCATATTCGTGTGCAAAAGGATATTCGTGGCAGCATGTCATATAACAACAGGTATGGTAATACCTCATCAAATCTCACAGGGGCGAAGCCAACCGGGCAGGATGGCTAGGCCCAATAGTGCCACTATGGGTGATATGTCCTCTTTTATCTAGGTTCTTATTTATATTTGCTTGTTTCTTCGTTATTTATAGCAATACTTTATTCAGGGAAGAGACATTTTCAATTCCATTTTAATCACTTTATAAGATCTTGCACCTAAGATATCAGGAGATTTGAAGAAGCAAGTTCAAATAGATTGCTCCAGCAAGCACTGGATATAGACTTACTAAACAGACTGCGCATCATGGAAAAAGTGACAACATACGAGAAGTATGTTAAGCATTCAAGTCGTCAAAGTTTAGTACATGGTCTCATATAACAGTAAGACCATAGTAATATGGAGATGACCTTTCCTTGTAACATTGCAGTGTGAGACACCTATAGTTTTGGCCAATTTAGAAGTATGGATTATCATCTCTATGAAATTATATTATTACACTTATTTTTCACAATATATCCCATTACTATACTCAAAGACAAGACAATACAACGGCTTGTCTTTCATGTCAAGTTTGTTAACTTTCATATCATAATAAACACAACATCAATGATATCATTATGGGTGGCTAGTTTTTCTTCTTTAAATAAGAAAAGAAGGCATGTTCAACTCTCCTGCAAGTATGAAATATCACATTCATAATAAGTGGACAAAGCCAAGATGGATTATCGTTTTTATAACGAAGGTAGATGGTGAGCAAATGCATAGTTGAGCGAAGATTCAAATGCACGTATCCTTGCCAAATGTAGAACTAGTAGAAGGAGAAAGTTGTGGATTCAACAATTCAGATGAATTAACTTGTTTCATTGAAAATTATCACAGACTTCTATTCTAATCAGTAGATAAAGCCAAAACGACAAAAATAATGAGAAATTTTTGTTCTGCTTCTAGTAAAAAGTATCGCTTAAAATGATATACATTGACGATATGAACACTCTCTTAAGCTCACCACATTCATCTCAAGCATATATCTATGCAAAATCATACATCCTAATTCTAAGTAAATCCTCAATCAAATTGATAAGATATTTCCATCCAAGTGGGTTCCGCAAAGATGCTGTATTGTATATTCTATTTTTGGGCGTAGTGGCATAGGTTGTCAGTGGTGCGAGATCATACCTGTATTTTAGAGCTGTCTTTTAGGATGGAGTGACTAAACTTTTAGCCACCCATAAATATAATTATTCATCTAGTATTTTCTTGTAAATAAAATTTTTATAATACATTTCATGGAAAAAAGTGCTATTTAATTAAGAATAAATTTTTTATGAAGTGAAATTAAAAACTGTTATTCTAAATTTTTTAATTTATTGTATGAAATCACAAGAATGACATATTCAAATTTATGTTAGCAAATAGGTTTCATTCAACAATATATAAGAACAATATTATGGCAGTCGAGAGCTTATCATAAATAAAGTATCAAGCTTGAATGGATTAATTTATCCAAGGTTGCTTGTTTATGTTCAAACAAGTTGGAAAGTTACAGTTAAAAAATAACGATTGTTACAAATAAATAAAAAATGATCACAAATTTTTTATATTGATTGCTAAACCAAAATGAAACGTATAAAGAAGTAAGAAAAAATTCTAAATGTACAAAGTAAAACGAAAAAGCACCATCTTGTTAAGAGATTATTAACAATGGTTGGCTAACTTCATTACATGTCATCTTCATATATATTTCAATGAACCAATACAAATTGCAAGTGAAATTAAAAAGTAAGATGATAAATTTTATTGATGATTAAAGTTTTAAGAATCACGTCATAACTGTAAGCTTACTTTTTATTTTCATTGATAAAAGAAATATTAAATGATGTATTTAAAAGTAATTAGACATTTTGGTTATAAGTATAGATTTCGGACATCGATCTTGAAAATTATTATGTACATTAAGTTTAAACTGTAAAGCTAGAGCTCTTAGGATTTAGGATTATCATTTTGAGTACATGATATTTAATTTTTTCTCCAATTTCATTCACAAATTTGAATAATTAAAAGCTTATGTAAAATACATTTTAAAAATATACATCATACAATCAAAGCATTTCAACTTATGTGTCATGCGTTTTCTTTTGGTGAATAAAATGAACTTTGCAATCTTTGTTACATATTGATAAGTGCATGATTTTGATTGAATTGGTCTGATGCATTTTTCTTTTCTTTTCTTTAATATTTATTATATAATTTAAAATATGAAAATAAAAAAATAAAAACACCAAAATCTTTAAATCTGAAATTTTAACCTTGAATTTACATATCTAAGTCATTTTTTGTAAATCAAAGAAAAAAAATACAATTTTTGACTCTTGAGAACATGGTATGGAAAATCAAGTATAAAACTGATATCAAAAAATCATTGGAAAGTATATCCATATCAGATTTTTCATGCACACTTTCACCTTTTATCATAGATTTATGTCTGAAAAAAGCATTGGCCATGTCTATGCCATGAAATGATACTTTCTATATCTTGAATGATTCATTTTATCTCATTCAATCAATTATCGTGATGCATTTTATTTTTTATAGAACCTAAATATTATCACGCAAAATTTACAATACATTTCACACATTTTTAAAAAAAATTTCAAATTAGAAAAGAGAGCAATATTTTGCAATATTTTTATGAATGTTTTTATATTTAGTCTCAATATTTTTTCCAAATATATTAAAATTTTGTATAATGTAGAAGTTTGGATATACTTTTGTACAAAATTTATTTCAAATTAGAACTAATTTTTTAAAAATTGATTCACATGAAGTATGTATTGATATTCAAAACTTATGAACAAACTTAGATGAAAAAATTATTGCAATATGAAACATTTCAAAATTTAAATTTTATCTTAACACCTAACTATAATCTTGCATTCAAAACTAATACCATTGATTTCAAATTTCTAGGAAAAATATTAGATCAATTTTTAAAAAAAATAAATAATCATTAATTATTAAAATTGTAAATATCAAATTAAACATACATTTCTGTCTTGATTTTACTCTTCAACTTTAAAATGTTATAATAAATGTGAAAACACGAAATGAAGAGAAGGTAAATATTAAACTTGTTAGCTTGTTTTTTAATGCAAAATAATTATATATCAAGTCAAATCAATCTAAAGTTTAATAAATGAAAAATTTGGGAGTTTCGGAACTTTTTAGAAAGTCGGCATGACAACCGAGTGCATCAGCCTTTCTATTCCTTTTTCTATTTCTAAATTGAGGGATATGCTAGCCTGTAAGGTCCGTTTATTACTAGCCTTGGTGCTAAGCTGCAAATGAAGCGCGTAGCGGCCGCGGGAGGCTAGTTCCAGGGGACCGAAATGCGCAACGGTGACGAATTATCGCAAATGTGACGGAGATAGCAGGAAATAATAATACTTGCTTTATGTTATCATTATAAATACTGGATAAAGCTTATCCATATCATGTGCCCCTATTCGAACTAAAATGCCCCTGGACCCAAGACTTCCTAAACGGTGCCGTCTATCAAAATATCCGAGACTACAAGCCTTCCCCGCCGGTCAACTAAAGGGATAATATGCTAATACCTCGAAACAAAGGAAAAGTGATAATATTCTCACACTTATATTGGCTAGCACGGAGTGCTGTCTAATTCCAATGTGGCGTGGTGTGAAGCACCGGCCCCCAAGAAATGGGCGGTAAGGGTCCGGATTATTAAAGGCTCCCGTGTATAGATAATAAAATATATACAATATCTATCGTGGTTGGGAGTGACTATACAGCCTTTTCCAATAATTATAAATCTTCTTCTAAAATAATTCTTTTTCAAAAAAGCAACAAATGAAATGTCTAATTGAGGTTAAAATTTATTGCACATAGTCTTTGATAAATTATTTTATCGAGTTGGATTTTATATTTACTAAGCTAAAAGATTTGATGAGCTTATGAAGAAAAATTTCTAAAACTTAGTTTCAAAAAAGTATAAAAATTTATTTTATTAATAAAATATTTTGATAAGTTAAAAATATATTGTTAAAAAATTGGAAGAAAAAATTAAGGAAGCAAACATTGCACCAATGTATCTACTCATAGAAATGTATTGAATTGATGTAACTTTTTATTGTGTTTAATATTGAATCAAATATAATTGATACTACACTATTCATCATCTTGTATATTAAACTTCAATACATGTATATACATAAAATTGATCTTTGACAATTGAATCAAATAAAAAATAATCTAATGTAAACAAATCAATGCATAAATTGATCATTATTTTAGATATTACTCACTGGTTAAAATATTTATAACTTGGTAGTGTATGACTGTTCAACACATGTGATAAAGACTAGGTTGGAAAGATTAAGTTAAAAAACTAAATTACTTATTTTCATTATTTATCTTTTCTTCAAGATCAATAAAAAATATGAGTTTGAATATGATCCTCGATCTTTGTATAATAATCTTAAGTTTATATATCCATAGACATACAAATTGTTTGAAAATTCTTTGCAATAAAAATAATTATCAAAAACTACAAAAATTAAATCTCCTAATAAATCATCCATAATACTCATTATTATTTCATGAAGATGCTTTCAATTGTTGTACTCATCAAAGTTAAAGGGATAGATCTAAACATATTAATGATTTCCATATAATTCAGTTTGTTTTTTACTCTAATTTTTACAATAGATTATAAACATGTATCTTGTATCTGATTATGTCATATTCATTTCCTTAGACTTCAAGACAACAATAATGTTTCGTTGAATCATGGAGATATATCTTGTGACATCTATTTCAATTATATCTCTTTTCTACTTATGTGTGAGATTATCACAAATTTTGTCTAATGATTTAAAGTTTTCTATGTAACAATATAAAAATGTATCAAAAATTCCAAAACAAAATCTCAATCACTTTTTAGGAATCTTTTTAACTATAATCTATAATCATCTTTAGTAAATTAGAATTAAAGTATTGATTATTCAAAATGAAGTTATAGTTTGCTTAAAGTGGATTAGTTATATTTGTCACATAAGCGATCCGTGTGCTTGTTAGGTTATTCGAAGTATCATCCATCCACTAGAAGTGAAATGAATAATGAGGATGAAACGTATCTTTTTGACTTGTTGGTAAGATTTACATAAACTAGAGTGAAACCGTTGTTGGTATATTTCATCTTCAGATATTAAGTTTTCATCTTCAACGTAAAATTAACACCAACTGAATTCATGCAGTTCTACAATAGCAACACTCTGAATGACATGCTTCCTTATAGGCGGATTGATACTCCCACCTTCCTGATTTACTTTTTCCACCCTTACTTTTTTCCCTACACCTATCTAAAGAAGTCAAAAAATTGATGAAAATGGAGTCAACATAATTCTTAAGTATAGGGCAATTACGAATGTCATATCTAGATCTCTTACGTTCCTTGCAAAAACATGGAGCTCTGTCAATTGTCTCAAAGGAGCTTGGTTTTTGACGAGTTGACGATATCAACTGGCGGCTTGTGGCAAGTGCATCGATAGCACTAACAAATGAACGTCCGCATATACAGGCAATGGCTGGCTACACCCGCGATACACATTCTTAAGAATGTGTATCGCGGGTGTACCAACTTGTAAATCTAACACAAACAACCATTGCTTGTGTAAAACACTCATCGATAGGCTCTGGTTTGCAGCGCGCAGATCGTAGATTGTGGTCGCTGAGAAAAGTCCCATGATAGTCTAAAAGCTGGAATCTGGTAGTGGATGGACTTCATGCCCCACATGCTGTTTAGAGATTTTAAATTGAAGGTGGATCTTGATGAGAGTAACTGAAGAAATCTGTCATATCACATGTGAGGAAACAGAGGTATACTGTAAATATAGGGAAACAATACAGCAGATCAAGTAAAGATCTGCTGCTGCAACCCAAGGGAATTGTACTTTGAGAAATTCTTCTCCACTTGAACTCTCATACCTTCTATCCAGATCACAACATAAGACTTGATTGAATGGAACTAGTAACTCAATACATCTAGTCATAGAACATGTCTGAGTGAACAAGATTGCGCCGCTCCTTCTACCGTGAGATGGCAATATCGATCTCTTGATACTAATCGACGTGAAATTTTCATCATGTCATAAGTGCTAAACTGCAGGCGCTGCTTCAATGCTGAGTGTACGTCTTCCATGCGTGACGAGGATGACAACTCAAAATGCGGCATTTTGTCAACATATGCACCGACGAAGTATGTCTTGTACCCGAATCCACAAAAGCACATACTGAACAGCATGCGATTGGGTATCCACCCACTTCGTTTGAATCTGCATTAGCTTCTCTTACAGTTCGTCCTCCATGCCCACTTGCATCATCCCTAAGAATAACGTCATGAACCTTTGCCAGTTTTCCTCGATGAAGCCTATCCGATGCTTTGCGATCATTTTCTTGCACATATGCCATCAGCAAAGCATCTTGTGGGCAAAGGAAAAAACAATCTCGATAGCTTGCATCAGCGCTAACTCACAATTAGTGACAATGGCGAGTGATAGGTAGTACAGCCTTTGTAGACATTTAGTGCCCACTTGTAGTCCTTGATTGTCTCTACACTAAGAAACACAATGGCCGATGTGAAGGTCGTCCCAGTGCAAGCAAAACTAACAATGTTAACTAGTGGCATCTTGAACCTGTTCGTTTTGTAGCTGCAATTCATGGTCAGGACATTCAGCCTTGATGCTCGTGAAGGCGAATCGTGTTAGACGTCCGCTAGCATCAACACATGAGTGGTGGGTACATCCAATTCAATCAAGGACGAGAGCAAAGCCTTAATTGGCATCTGGACGTCAAGCCGCTTGATTCTGTGCTACCTCTTCAAGTTGTATATGCCGTGCTTGACATGCTTCAAGTCGCAATGATGTGCTTGCCGGAGGATTTTGAACGTATCAACGTCAAGATTTGAGCGGCGCAACACCAGAAGATGCAAACACGTGTTTTTACGTCGTTGGTCATTTTGCGGTGAGACGGATGCGCAGCCTCATGAGTCCGTGGCGGGTGGTTGTGTTCTCCACATTTCACACGCAACGTCTAGCTCCGGATTCGATTACGAAGGCCTAGCAGAAGAAAGGGGCAGCCAGTTAGGACCGAGCTCGAAGGGCGCTGGCGTGTCTGCTCTTTAAGACCATGACAATCCTCGCCTGTACCACACTTGCCCCATATTGCAATAGGACGCCAGCAAGGTAGCCCCATATTGCAATAGTATGCTCATATTGTAATCGGATCGATTGGTAGTGACGCTATAATCGGATTGATTGGTAGTGACGCTATAATAGGACGCACATCTTGTAATCTGATTGATTGGTAGTGATGCTATAAAGAGCGGCAGCATGCTTTATGTATGTGATTCATGCTGTATGTATATGAGAATAAAAAGATATCGGGGAATGCCTCTTTGAGACAATTGGCAAAGACCAGGTTAGTGATTGCCCAGTACTTAGTAATTTCACCTTTTTCCGGCTGGGAAGTGAGGAGGGTAACCCCCTACTTATGCGCTAATGCAATATTTAGACCATTTCACTTCGGGTACTTTAGATCTAAGCTATATTTTTCAGAGTGAGTCGATTCGATTGGAACCCCATATTGCCCACTTGCCTACGTTTAATCCATGTCTGATTTGATAGTCTCCTCTCTTCCTCTCTGCTATGTTAAGTCTAGAAGTTGTAAAAGCTTTGATCTTCTGTTCATTGACACCTGTGTCTCCATAGCAGAGGTGACAACCGAAGTGTATATTTTCTTTCAGACCGATCTCGATGACTGGAGGCTCCCGGTTGACAAACGATAATTGAGTGATGTGCGGACAAGGGAACAGTCAAAATGTTGAAATCCATTGTGCAATCAGTAATGTTTATTCCAATAGTAAAGATCGTTCTTCACTTTGTATAGCTTCAATCTGCCGAACCGGAACAAGCAAGATCCAGAGATTGGATCAATAAAAACTTCCCAACCTCACTGAACGGCGTTTGGGACTCATGCCTGAATATTTTTTCCCTCATTTCCATCTCCTTGACCACCAACTGCAGGATGGCATTCCTCCACGATCCTCTGAGAACATGAAGACTGCAAGAGCGTGATTGATATCCAGGAGAGCCGGCGTGCCAGCTTTACGAATCCTGAGTGATTGTCCTTTACAAAAGACTTCACCGCGCGGACACCGGGAGACACGGTGGCGTGCGATGTTTCCGCAACATGAAGAATGATGAAATGTAAATGATGAAGAACTTGTGCTGGGTACCATCTGTTCGCTGTACAAGTTCTGTAGGCGTGCACAGTAATCCATAACGGATACCGCTGAATCTCACAAATTGTCGGCTTTTGTTTTCTCCACCGCTCCGTTGCTCTCCTCCTCGTTCTCACCCGACAGCTCCTCCAATGACTTGCCGTTGGTCTCCGGAACGAAGAACGTGAAAAAGAAACCGATGGCGTTGCACACAGCGAGAACCAGCAGAGACTTCTTGATACCGATTCCCGTGGGATAACCATGATCCTGCTTGCCCTGGTGCTCGTTCTGGCTCGCATATAGAAATCCGAACGCTCCAACAATAGCTCCAGCTTTGCCCGATGCTGCGGAGATTCCGTGACAAGTAGATCTCAGCCTCGCGGGGAAAAGCTCCGCCGGTACGATGAATGTTGTGGAGTTGGGCCCGAAGTTGGCAAAGAAGAAGGTCAGAGCGTACATGGCAATAAACGCTAAATGGTTACCACCGCAGTACTTGGATGAGTCGGCGGGACATGGATCTCCCCTGAGGTTGTAGTAGTCGAAGGTCAAGACGAGCATAAATAGTGTCATCATGAAGAAGCCATTCAGCTGAATCCACCACCTTCCAATTCTGTCGATGAGAGCAACTGTCACCCAGTAGCCAGGCACGGTGGATACAAGGGCAATCAAAGCTTGAGCTCGGCTAATCTTGAACACCTCCTCCAGGGCGCTCATTTTCTTGGCTGCTGGAATCCACCCCACGGCGCTGAAGATGTCTTTCTGGAACAGATTCTGGCTGTAGAAAGCCACATCCAGCATGAACCAGCACACTGTGCATCCCAGCAGCTGATAACCATGGCGTCTGAGAAACTCGTGACTGAACAGTTTGTACTGCACTTTCTTGTCAGCTTCACGTTCCGCGGCCGCTTGATGTTTCTGCTCGCCCATCGCGACTGAAGAATCGTCATGCTTTGTTTGGAATTGGACGTGCAGCACCTTCTCCATATCTCTGGCGGCCTGGTCGTTGTTCTTCTCGACCAGAGCCGTGTATCGAGCAGTCTCGGGCATTCGGATTCGGTAGTAGTAAGTGAGCGCGGCCGGAAGGGCACCGAACATGAAGAGCAGACGCCACACGTAGTCCGCCTGAGGAGGAGTGGATCTGATCTGATCGACTTGAAATGCTGGTCGATGATAAGCTGCATTGAAGGCTGCAGACAGAATGATGGCAACTGTGGCTCCGGAGAGGATTCCGAATCCTTGCATCGCGAACACTGCTCCGATGAATGCTCCCCGAGTCTTCGTATTGGAGTATTCGGACATGATCGTGGCCGAGAGGGGGTAATCTCCCCCGATTCCGAATCCCAGCCAGAAACGGAAGAAGCACAAGGTGGTCATGACACTAGTGGCGTTGCTGCCCAGGGAGAGACCAGAAGCAACGGACGTGAGAATCATGAGGAGGAGAGTGATACCATACACCTTCTTTCGTCCGAATTTGTCACCAGCCCATCCGAAGAAGAGCTGCCCAAGGAGCGTTCCCACGAGAGCAACTCCATTGACTGCTGCAGCAACATTGGGGGGAAGAGTTCCGGGCTTGCCGAGTGCTGGGTCGTAGTAATACAGACGACCGAGCAATCTGGTGACCGTGGAGATGGAGAAGAGATCATAGGCGTCGGTGAAAAATCCCATTCCTGCTATAATAATGGACTTGAAATGATAACCTTGTGTCTTGGCTTTGTCCAGAGTCCTCAACACCTCCATTCCAACAGCTGACTGGCCCGTCATGATTCGTGATCTTCCTTATTCCTCAGCCTCGCTTGCTTCCCACAGCCTCCTGTTCAAGACACCCAACTACAGATACATTGGAGAATTCATGGAAAACAGACCATTCGATATAACTGCTGGTTCCACCTACAGGATCCTCACTCTCATCACTTTCCGCAAGAAGAACACCTGCAGGATGAGACCAGTTTTCTAAATCTTCGCACGCAGGCAGAATGGAAGTCTGAGTTACAGGTGGTTGGCCTGGCAGTATTTATCGGCATGGAAAGTTGCTCAAGCAGGAGTTGAAGTGGCCCCAAAGCGGAAGCAGCCCTTGAAGACCAGAAGTTCACTAGTTGACAAAGGTCCGAACGCATCAGGCTTTATCTTCCTATTCATTCAAGGATTCCTTCCCGACATACGACCTCCCTCTAGAATCCAGGCAAATCTGGCGACTTCATGCTCACCGATACTGGAATGTTTACACCACCAGTCCAACCTCCACCAATGTTGGGTTTGAAAGGTTGGATCCCCCTCAGTTGTACATGAGCTAAAAATAAACAGGTGGCCTCAGAATCTGGTCGTCTGTAAGGTTACAGCACCTTCCTTATCCTCAAACCTGTAGCCTTGAGAGCTCCTTAGAAGTTCCAATACAGCTTGGGAGCCAGTTAGTTACAGACGAATGCAATTCCTGCTTCACCTTGACTTTCAGCCACTGAATATCATTTTCCTTCCGAATAATAACCCCGAAGATTCGAAATCATCTCAATTGGTAAACACCCAGTGAAGAATCCCCATCAGATCCATATTCTGGTGGCAACAATATTTATGGTCACCTCAGTCTTGTCAAAATTGTACTTCACTAGCCTCGGAAATTATAGATGATATATTACATAATCTGTTTCATAGCTTGTTCACACACTAGCGAAGGCTTCCGTAGTATGTCTCTGGAACCAGTCAGACCCTTAACCGATGTTTCACTTGCAATGATGAGAAGAATATTTAATACCTGAGTCTGAGACCGCGAGGTGTATCTGTCTAAATGTCAACGCCTACTCCGCCTGAAGCAATTTCTGTTGTGCCTCTTGTGCGCAGTTCTGGTAACGAAACTGTTATTGACAGTCACCTGTAACTGTTTGATGGATCGCCAAGTTGGGCGTGGCAGCCGTTGACAGAATCCCGGTAATGCCTGCGAGTACAATCGGCAGACACGAATGTGAACGACCCTGGAAAGCAGGGCTCATACTGTCGGCATATACCAAGATCCCAAAGCATATCCTGTCTCGGGGCTTTACCTGGACTGGTGAGTAAAAGAACTACCTCTGGAATCATACTATGTATTTACGCGGAAATGCCTCATTATAGGATCAAATTTGCTTGAGAGTGTATTTCAAGCCTGCCGTTTTTCCCAGACGGGTTGTATCTGGCATGTGTTGTGATGTTCTGATTGTGACATCTACAATTGACTTCTTCCCTCAATTTGTTTTGTTAGGTGAAACTAGATTCTACTTCTCCAGGTTCTTACTTCATCAATGTTATTCCTTGGCATTGGAAGAATGACGAAAGTTCGTATTCAGGTCAAAGGCTAATTAGGTTGGGTTGTTTTCGGAGTCATTCCTGCTATACGGAAATCGATGTTATATCATAGAGATCTAGTCTGACAAGATTGGCGGAATCATCTTAAAGCCTACTGGACTAACATTAACCAAGAAGTCTGTATAATAGAGGACGGGGACCATCAAGCCTGCGTGGAGAAAGCCAAATGAGTAATATATAGTCTAGACTGAGCAGATACGATATAATATATTTTATATTCCATAGCTATCTAGGTAAAAAAATTTCATATTATATTTTCATCACGCGATGTGATGGCTATACTCATCATCTTATTTCAATAGCAATTAATGCTAAATTCAAGATGATGAATATACATTCAATAAATAAACTCATACAATGAACCAAACAGAGTATAGGTTATGTTGCATATTATTGTACGTATTCGTACACTCTCTCACTAATATCAATAACTCCTTTTAAGTCCAGAATAAAAAGACAAAATACATGAAAGTTATGTATAATACCATAATTCATCGCCTTGGTTTCAATCTCATTAACTATCTATTGATGAGAATAGGGTTTCACTATTGCAGAAAGTTGCACTTTTGATATATATATGTATATATATATATTCATTCATTCATTGTCTACAATAGTAACTTGATGCTTCCACAAAGAATATAAGTTCATTATATTTACATTTACAAAAAACCATCACATGCAAATTTAGCTTCCAATTTGACCATAAAATTAGTGTAACTCTCTGATTATTTTCTAGTTAATCCGATTTGAGTTAGAGTTAAGTTTAGAATTAACATTAGTTAAGGTGATAATTATAAGGTTAACCCGCGTGTTGTTAACCATAGTTGGTCTGACCTTAGTAAAGTTTGGCCTCTAGTTAGATTATGGGATAGTTAATTTGAGTACAAGCATGTTTCTGTTTCAATCTCATATGTACATCGCAGTGGAGAGCTTGGCTATAGAGTACTAAGGTACATTCTCGCTTTAGTGAAGCTTTTTATCTCGGACTTGGAGGTAGTCTCATGTGGAGATGAACCACTTACATTGGTGTGTGATTCCTGTGAAGTATTGTATGTATGAGCTTGTTTCAAGAATAGAGCTAAGATACTACAATTGGTAGAAGAGATCAATTTTTATTGTTGTGACATTCAATTATTGATTGATTGTATCATCTCTTAAACATGAAAAAGAGATGTAGCGGACCAGATTGAAGTATGCATCATCGAGGTGATGTTTGAGACAATATGATTGATGTTGACACTCTTCAAATTCCTAAATATACAAAACGTGACTTGCATTTGCTTTCTCACACTTTTTTTTCTTTAGAAGCTACACGTGGTAGATTTTAGAAGAAATTAGGGTTCGGACCATGATAGAAGGTTTGCATACCTCTGCTTAGATTGCTAGCAAAGTAAATTTGAAGTAATCTTGTTAGTTAGCCAAAAGTTAAAACTAAAACTTTAGCTAAAAGTTAAAAATTAGTTTTTAAAACCTTTTGTTTTACTAAGGAAGTACGACCGTATCCACCATACTTTTGGAAAATACACATGTTGTCATCCCGCATGTTGTGAGAATCTATGAAAAGATTCTTCTAAAAGATTCTTTTTTAGAGAGTTTTGCCACGGAAACGGAATGTCAAATGAAACTTTTTGGATTTAAAACTTTACTATAATATAAATCGCATAGTTGAAAATCAGTAAAAATTTATTTTGTTGATTTGACTCTTCAATTATTAATGATGTTGAAGCTAATGTTGAGGATTCAACTGACGCCTTGATCACAGAAGATGAAGATCCATCTTTGTTCTCTTAAGCTCTATCTTCTACTGAGAATCAAGATTGAAATGCAGCAATGCAGAAGGAGATGAAATCAATGACCACCAACACTTGAAAACTTGTTGAATTGCCCCAAGATAAAAGAGTGATAGATTGTAAGTGGATTTACAGTAACAAGGATGAATCTATGAATAGAGATGAGAAAATTTTCAAGATTAGATTGGTAGCCAAGTAATTCACAGAAGGTGTGGATTACAATGAAGTTTTTGCACAAGTAGTAAAGTATTCTACAATAAGTTTCCAATGTGTCCTTGTGATTTTACTTGATCTTGTTTTTTATCATATGGACGTTGTTACAACTCTTCTCATTGAATTACTTGATGAAGTAATATTCATGCGGCAACTCCAAAATTTTCTCTTGAAAGAAAAGAAAGTCATGGTATGCAAGTTTCTTGAATTGTTATACGGTAAAAAGAAAAGTTCCAGATAGTTGAATAAACGCTATAGCGACTTCATGCACTCATAAGAATTCATACAAAGTGTATGATCCTTTTGTTTACTTGAAAAATATTTTTGATACGGCATTTGGGCTTATCATTCTTGTCTTGTATGTTGATGACATGCTTATTGCAGCTTCCAAAAGATTTGATGTTGATTAGTTGAAGTCTCAGTTAAGCCCAACTTTCAGCATGAAGTATCTAGGTTCAGTCAAGAAGATT